GGGGGTACGTGCTGTGTGTACAAGGATCGTCTGCCGCCTTACTGTAGACAGCCAATACCCGCTGTCCCCTGCGGGGTATTAACAAGGTAGCCAGACCACGCAGCTGGAATCCAGGATTACCTCAGAGGCAGGGTGGCATGCGCATTCGGGGAATGTGAAGAGGGGATTTTGACTGCATAGATAAGGTGGCTCTTTACTGCCCCACTGGCTTTTCTCTATTACATGGGGTGTTCCCCAGACCCAGCACTGCATCCCCTGTTGCCCTGCGATTGCTGGGGACTCTGACCCCAGCCCTGCATTCGTTTGTTTCTGCAGTTGTTTAGGTTTTAGTGACCACTGTCCCTCCCATCAAGTTAAGACAGTCCTCCACCCAGACGATCAGTGCCTTGCGGTGATCATCTCTTGCCATTTGGAATTTGCCGCAAGCCCGTCAATGTCCCTAATGCACACCTCCTGTTTCCAGTATAACCCAGCTCCCCACGTGCGTGGGGAAAAGGTGGGCTCTGCCACAGCCTGCAGGGTGAGCAAGTCTGGACTCTGGCGGGCATCAGTAGGGAGCAAATTACAAAATCAAGGTGCCTTCCCAGAAGAGTCAGTTCACCAGTATTTCTTATGAGAGAGCCCAGCCAATCTCAACATCCAAGCTCAAAATGATGGTAACCAAAGTGTCCTTCATACGCAGAGCCCAAACCCGCGTGCGACTCTCACACGGGGGGGGGGGGTCACAGCAGAGGTCAGAGAGGCGACCTCCGTGGAAATGGAGTAGCATGTTCTTTTAGTTACTCAAGGTAGATGAATTTAGACTGATTTAAGTTTATGGCTGTCAGCACACTAGCTACAAGGAGAATGCACTGCCCCAGGGTATACGATGTGGCTGTCCTGTGTCCCTTTAATTTCAGGATCAGATCATCCCTTAGGAACAGGTACCACAGCAGTAGCCTGAAACACTGTATCGTACAACAGGCATAGTAAAGTACTGTGGGCTTTAACAAGGGTTATCCTGTTAACAAGTGGGAGGAAGACCCTCCCCAGTGCTGGCTTGAAGAGCTACACAGTCACGGCTTCACAAAGGTCGTCTCATTGTGGTTGTGTTTGGTAATATATTTCACAGGGGCAGGAAGGTAGTTTCTAGCGGAGAACATTCCCTCCCCAGCCTGGGGTGCAGACCGTCCTTCATGCTTCATTTCCATGGTTTTTAGCATATTGAGGATCAATTATGCAAATCAGAAGCCACCAGCTGAGTCAGGCTTGGTTCAGCATCCTGGATTAGTGCAGGAATGTGGATATTTCTCTGCTCCGTGTTTATCTTCTTTTGCTGATCCATAATGCACTCGGTAGCCAGAAAATATGGAACAGTAACAAACTCACTTTGATAGACATAAAGTCCTTACGAAGATGAGTGCTTTGGTGTTTAGCAGGTCAGGTGGGCTGCCCTGCCTACCATAATTCATATCCCCCTTATGAAAGTGTATTAACAGTTGCATTATTTCAGACATGATGCACTTACACGGGCTGGTCAGAGACCAAATCATAGGCCATTGTACTGGCTGTAGAAAAGGGGCTTCCCAGGACTAGCGCTGTGCCTTGAAGTCTCCTGTGCTATTACAGATTTTCAGACAAGCTCTGCACACCACAGCCAAGGACAGATTTTTCAGAGGCATCCGGGACATTTGGGGTAGGGGTTACAATGGGAGATGAGCACTCAAAACTCTGACTTCAATTATGGGTGCTGAGTACTGGGAAATCTGGCCAAATGCCCCTTGCCAAAATGCAAGAGGCATGCAGAAGAGTTGAGGATGGGCTTTCATTACATTATTTCATTACCCAGGGCATTTCTCCCTCCCTGCTCCCTCCTTCCCAGCCCAGCTCACAGCAGTATGGTCCCTTCTGCGCCTAGACACTTGACGGCTGTCGTTTTCAAGGTGTCTGAGCAGTTGAGGATCCTCTGAAAGAGAGGAAAAGGTTAAAAAATAAAGGATTTAGGAAGACTAACGGAGGGAGGGAACTGCAGTAGTTGTGGCCGGCAGTGATTAAATCGTGGGTCAGGATCCATGATTAAGGCTCTCGGATAGCACAGTGTTGAGCATGATATGAACACGTAGACAGGATTTCTGCAGAGGGGGCTAGCTGCCATGAGAATGAGATTAGGCAACATTCCAGGGACGGGGAGAGAGAATCTTCTAGAAAAACTCAGAGATATTCCTGGGTTGGTTGGTTGTGAGCTAAATCTATCATTTTGAACACACCCTCTGTTCTTTTAACAGACCCTGCTTTCTGTATTTTTTCCCCTCAAGCATATACGCTTGTCTGCTTTCACTGAACTGTGGCGTCTCACATTTATACATCTCGGTGACGTGAGCCATGTATTTTGGGTAAACAAAAGAGAACCAGCTATAGCAGAAATTTAAAACACTAACTGGAGAACCTACTGACTGATCACGTCTCCTTTGCTGATTCAGACACAGCATTTTAATATTTGCAAAAACTGTCTTCAGATAATCACCTTCCCCAGTACCTGACTTGTTAGGGGACTGCCCCGTGTTTCTGAGGTCACAGCCAGTTCCCAGGAAGATGACGATCAAGAAGATAGAGAATCCTTCAAAGGGGAATGGGAGCATAAAATAAATGACAGCACGTGAAAGGTTAAGACAATTCAGCTTAGCTTGGCTTCCTGGTTTGGATCAGCCCCCCCCAGAAGGGGCACAGCATCACCACACTGATGTCAGGAGCGTTACGCAACAGGAGGGCTCTTTGGTGGCTGATGAGCCCCCAAGTGGTTGCTGTGCTTGTCAGAATGAATAAGACAGTTTCTGGAGAGCAAACGCAGGGATGTCAGAAGTGAGCAGAGCTGTTGTCAGGCCAGCTCCTTCGCCGTGGGGCTCAGCATATGAGTCCTTAGGAAACCTTTCAGTGCTTACTGTGTGCCTGATCCAGCCACCCTTACTCAGGGCGGGTGCTGCCTCACCTAAACAAGCATCCCCCTTGCTGGCGACACTGTGACAAATTCAGGCCTCGTGGCTTTTCCGTGTGCTGGAGTGGGCGGGGGAGTTGCATAGCACCGTTCACTCTGCAGGAAGGCGGGTGTAGTGGTTACACACTGGTCATTGCTGGAGATTAGAGACCTACAGACAAAGGGATTTTCCTTGGTCTGCATCATGTTCAGAGCTTCCCTGTAAGTTCGCAGGATACTTTTAGGCGTGTCTGTAGAGCCGAGAGAGGACTGGAATCCATGGGAGTTGTTAAAGTTGGGACCATCATCTCAAGGCTCAGCCTGGCTGCCGTGAACAGCACCTTCACCTGCAGGAATGCTGAAATGCAGGCAAGGTGGGGGAGGTAAGATCTTTTATTGGACTGATCTCTGTTGGCGAGAGAGACAAGCTTCCGAGCTTACACCGAGCTCTTCTTCAGGCCTGGGAAACTTACTCAGAATATCTCAGCTGAATATCATGAGACCAACCCAGCATGAAAGTTACACGGTGCTTTTGTGGGCTGGGCATGCACAGACTGCACTGCAAAAACTGAGTTTATGTTACAGACTTTAGGGTGCTCTCTTTCCTCGGGTTGTATTTTGTTTGTTTTATTGTTTTTGTTTTTTTGCTTGAAATCTGCATTCACCCAACAAAGGCTGCCTTAGAGGAGAGACACGAGGTTGAGGCTTTCAAAGGGGCGTAGGGAATTGGGTGCCTAACTCATTTACTGCTCAAAGTGGAACTGTACAAAAGTAAATAACTGTGTACATACACTACCTGCAGTTAACCCCCCCTCCTTTCGGTGAAGTATGGACACCCAGATGTGCACTCGCAGTCAAATCACCATAGCACCGTCCGTCTCTGCACAGCTGCCCCTGCAACTCAAGCTGCAGCCTGTAATTTGTCCTTTAAACCCCGAGACTAATTTTCTTACACTGAGGCCACGGGACAGCTTTTTGGCAATGAAATGGGGCCTTCAAGCAGATATCGTTGAACACTGGAACAGTGTAACCAGCCTTCGTGTAAATCCCACGGACTTGGGTGAAATGGTGCTGAGGCTGAAGGCAGTATACTCCTCTTCGGCTGACAGGACACTTCCCTTCATTGGGATGGGAAGTAAAGATGTGGGAAAAGGCCTGGAGCTTATGAGACGGCTGCTGGTAGCATTGTTAACTGGCTGTGTCCAAATGGCAAATTACATAGCTGCTCCTACTCACGTTCTTTTGAACAAGCCACTTCATCGGTGTCAAGCTAGGGCTGTGGAATAACAGCGTGGCACAAGGTGCGCATTTGTAGCAGGACTTGAAAAAATTCCCTGTCACATATTAGCTCAATGACAAAATATAACGAAGGTAGTTGAACAATATCTGTACTAACACTTATCCCAACATCACCTGCCCCTCCTAGAGACCTGCCCCTTTTGCCGCTATCTGTGAAATAAAGTAAAATTATGTTATTTCAAATGAACTTCTAGGTTGTTTTCTCAAGTTGTGGTTGCTTTAGACTGATTTGTCTTTTTTACTTCCCATCTCGGTGGGCAATAATGCATTTTGTTGTTTTATTCTACATTTACAACCTAGATTTTATACTTGGGAGTCGCAATCAACACTATCTGACCAGTCCTAGCTAGGGGTCCTCTGCAACTCAGACTTGTTGACTTTCCAATCAAGTTGCAAAGCCAATCTTTCTTCTTGGGCATTAGGGTGGTAGTGGGTCATAGGGAGAGGACGTTATAGGTTTGTTGGTAGGTGAGTAGCTATGGTCTGTGTGTGGGCATTCTTTCTCATATGGTGACCTTCAGATTCTGGATTGTGTACTTTAAACTCTACAGAACGTATCTGCAGCTGGGGATAAATTATAAATCTAAATACATACATTGATCTTTGTGTCTGTGAATCTTGGAGCAGCTTTGAGAAGAGGAAGATCATAGGGAAGCCAATCCATAACCCATTCAGCTGATGTCTAGGTGCAGAATATGCTAGAATGCTGTAGAGCAGGCATGGTTTTAATAGCTGCTTTTATCTATTTTAGAATTACGTGAGGATGATGAACAGCTGGTAGCTGAAATTTCTGAGACATATGTACCCCAGAAGCACTCCGAGGATGAGGTGCAATCGCCTCTTGCGGTTCGTCAAGGTGACAAGAATTCTAAAGCAGAAACTGACTGCAAACTTGATGAAGATTCATCCGTGACACGAGTTGCACCAGAAACAGAGCCGCCTTTGGGTATTTCTTCAGCACTCACAAAAGAAACTGATTCTCCATCTTCAGTAGTGTCGGCTCCAGACCAGACTTTGTCATCCAATGTACCCACAGCTACCCAAGCGTGGGTGATGTCAGAAGAAGACATGGTTGTCACTCTCGAAGGGTTGGCTGATGCTGAGCCAAAGGCTGAAACTTTTGCCCTGGAGTCAGTGCCAAGCAAGAGCAAGCTCAAGAAAGTGAAACCATCTTCCCTTAGGAAGAAAACAGCTGGAGAGACCTCAGAAACGGAAACCGTCACGGAGGGCATCCCTGTCCCCAAAGCATCTTACCAGTTCAGTCTAGCTGAGTATGATGAGAAAATAAATCCCTTTGTGATGGGAGGTTCCAAAATACAAAACTCTCCTCCTGCAGCTCAGCAAACCTTCATGGCTTCAAACAGTGATACCAATGATTCGGGGGTGGAGTTGGCTGAGGAGTCCAGGGGCCATGCTCTGAAGCTGGAATTTGATTTTACAGATGGGGCGGAGAACGGAGAGGTCAAGAAAGCCCTGCCCAAGAAAATCGGCAGGAAACCTGCCAGCAAACTAACTCCGAGACGACAAAGAGAAGCTGGTAACAAACCTACGAGTGCTGATGGCCCGGAAGAGGCTTCAGCAGAGGTGCCTCTCCCCAAAGCCTTGTACCCGGTGGATCCCAGTCAGTGGGATGATCCTAACTTCAACCCTTTTGGCAGCAGCTCGAACTTGCAGAACTCCCCACCCCTCCCAAAGGCTTCCTATCATTTTGACCCCAACAACTTTGACTCAGTGGATCCTTTTAAACCCACCAAGAGCTTAGCTAGCACAGCTGCTGACTCCTGCCCCACAGCTGATAACAATCTCAATGAAATCCTGGAGTCTCAGACCCTGGAGGTTCAGGGCGAGGAGCTGACGATAGGCAAAGCCTCTCCAAAGAAGGCCAAGTCACGCTTGATAACGTGAGTGATGCCGCGTGCTGGGTTTGCTGCTCTTTGTGCTCTCTGCGGGGTCAGGCAGCCGGAGGTTTGCTTTGTGGGATGGCAGCCTGCTTGTTTGTTTCCCAGATGCCTTGGGAGTAATTGCAGCAATGTTCGTTTCCTGCCACGTTGTTCTCATCTAAGCTAGTCTTGCTGGTGAATGAGCTGCAAGATAGACACCTACGGCAGGCAGCCAGATTCTACATTTTGTTCCTGCCCTGTTGTATTTGCACAAAGGTGCTGTATCTTTTCTTTTTTTTTCTCATCCAGTGGTTCTTCATGAATTGACAGGATGAGAAAGCCAAATACACTCAGCAGTGCATGTGTTAGTCACAACAGCCAAGTAGCCTAGAGTCTCAGCTACCAGCTAGTGCTGCATAGCAAGTAACAACTCTTAGTGGGACCTGGTCGCAAGAATCACCTGTGATCCTGGCGTGGTAGAGAGAACAGGTGGTTGAGGTTCCAGTGTATGAAGTTTAAAATCACCTGCTGTTAAATGGTTTATTCACATTCAGGATTTGTTTTGCGGGTTGGGCAGAAAGGGGCTTTCCAACTGCGGGTGCACCGCGGGATCTGTAGTTCTTCCACTCAATGCAAATGGATGTCTGTTTCATCACGTATTGCTAAAACTGTTTTCAGGTCTTCCTGGAACTTCCTCTTTCATAGCTAATGAAGAGAAGTACGGTTAAACAGTCAGGCCATTTGTTCTGTTGGCTGTATCACATCTGCCCAGACAGCATATGCAGTTTGCCTTCCCTTGCAGGACTATTTTGGTACATGTACATGTGGGATTCTTTAAATACATATTTAGTTCTTAAAGCATGCTATTTAAAATGGTCATGTAAGTACTGAGGTTTCACAGTGCCAACTGGGAATGCAGGCTGAATTGTATCCACTCTCTGGGAGTGCATATGTCACTGTAAGCCTTTCACCTGTTGTGTCTCAGGTTTCTTCCGAGCAGGGTCTGGGCCTTCTTGATGTCTCCAGGTGACTTGAGTCCCAGAGTTTGAAGTTGCAACATACAAAACACCAGAAACAAAATGTCGCAATACTGTTTAATCTTTTGATATAATCTCAATATGTAGTCTGTGAACAGGCAGGAAGGCAGAAAGGATTATTGTGTAAGAGAGTCATTTCCCACTAAATATTTGGGCCTTTTTCTTGTAATTATTAACTGACATTCACATGGCCAAAGGGGCAGGTGGAACCAGCAGCAAAAGGAGAGGCAGGAAACAGGTTAAATGGGGAAGTGTAGGAAGCACACAGTTTGTGCTTGAATTGACATTAAAAATGAAACAAGCTGCCATTCTGCTCACATGTTGTCCAGGTGAAATTTTTAGTGAGGGGGGAAACCTGGAGGATGGATTTTAACTGAGAGAGAATGGAGAAAACCTGGCAAACCTGAATGACCTGGTCTCTCTGACATCTTTCAGAAATATCTTGGAAGGAATCTATGTGGATCTGTTAAACTCCTGTGCTCGTCTGTGTTTGACTCTGAAGTGGTTAAGAGTTAGCAGACAATGGAATATCACTTAAAGTTTCAGGTTCCATCTCTTCCTTATTTAGGAGCAGAGTAGGCTGCTCCAGGCACCTGGGTCCCTGGGGTTTTGGATTTTTGCATGAATGTTCATTTCTTCTCCAATAATAATAAACACTGAATTGGACTGTCTCCTATCTGCATGCTCCTCCCCAAGAAAGAGAACTGTGCAACTCTTTACATTTATTCAAATGAGAGATAATATCCAGGTCTTTTCACGTGCTTTTTTTTTTCTCCATCTGTCTGTCTCTTTCCTGTCTATTATTTGATGCATCAGGACTACTGAACAAGTGAAATTTCTCTGTTTTCTGTTGTAAGTACTCTCTTCTGTTTTCTTTATTTGTTTCTATTGTTTGTTAGCATTCTCCAACCCCTCTTCTCTCCATGGCATGCAGGCTCCTTCCTACCTTTTGAGTTCCATTGTCTGACTCGTGTTCACCTCTCTCAGACCTTATTCATCAGAGAGCTTAGCCTTGCGATGGGCTGTGTGCAAAGGAATGAGAAAGGGAGACGGCGGTGGTACTGCAGGTGTGTGTCTGTGCTTGCTCCCATGGCATGTCAACTTCCAGTGTGTTTGGATGACGTAAAAGGGTATGAAATCAATGTGTTGGTGAGGCCAGAGGCTCTCAGTTTTTTCAGACAACTGTACCCCTTTCAGGGGGCTGGATTTGCCTATCCCAAGGTTCGCCTCACTTAAAAACAAAATCAGACGTTAAAAAACAAAAGTTCCACGGCACACTGTTACTGCAATTATACCATCTGATTATGAAATAGATCAATTGGAATAGAACTATTGTCCTTACATTGCAGTGTATCGTATATAGAGCAGGATAAACCAGGCACGGTCTGTATGAAATTTTAGTTTGTACTGGCTTTTCTAGGGTTTTTTATGTAGCCTGTTGTCAAACTAGGGAAATATCTAGCTGAGTTGATGGACCCCCAGGGGTATGCATACCCCTGCTTGAGAACCACTGGGTTAGGGGGCTCTTCTCCTGGATCCATACATTGTAGAGACAAATGTGGTTTTTGTCCTGCAGGTGAATCTTTCCCCTGGGGGGATGTCTCCCCATGTGACTAGTCTTTGTAAAGTAGTGAGGCAGGCAGCGTATACTGAAGGAGTGGCTCCAAGGGCAGGAGACAATAGCTTCACAGAGGCCTCCAGGAGCCCAGGGACTCAAAACCTAACTTCCTTTTTCATAAAAAGAAAAGGAGTACTGGTGGCACCTTAGAGACTAACAGATTCTTTCAACAAGTTCTTATCAACTGCTGGAAATGGCTCACCTTGATTATCACTACAAAAGGTTCACACGCGCACACACACACACACACACACACACACACACCCAGCTCTCCTGCTGGTAATACCTCACCTTACCTGATCATTCTCGTTACAGTGTGTATGGTAACACTCATTGTTTCATGTTCTCTATGTATATAAATCTCCCCACTGTATTTTCCACTGAATGCATCCGATGAAGTGAGCTGTAGCTCACGAAAGCTCATGCTCAAATAAATTGGTTAGTCTCTAAGGTGCCACAAGTCCTCCTGTTCTTTTTGCAGATACAGACTACTCTGTCTAGTCTACTACTTAGTCTACTACCACAGGCTGCTACTCTGAAACGTTTCTTTTTCATAACTTCCTGTGGTCATGTCTTTAGGGCTTGGGGAGGGTTTACCTGGCTCAGTGCAAATCTCCTGCACAATAAAATAAATAAAAATCAATTGCAAAGAATAGCATCCTTCAACAAGGGAAGTATTAGCATTATTTATTAACTATTACTGGCCCTATCCAGTGATGGGCAAGGAGAAGGTAAAACGCCTTTCTCTAGGCAGTGTGGAGACTGAACACTCAGTGCAGAGATTAAAGTTAATGATTTGCACTGCAGTACCACCCAGAGCCCAGCCAAGATCAGGGCTCTGTTCTGTTATCTGCTGCACAGACACATGGTAAGAGACAATCCCTGCCTCCGAGATTTTACCATCTAAATAGACGGGACAGTCAAAGGGTAACAGGAGAAACAGAAAACAGAAGTAACGTAAAGTCTTACAGCAGGTCGGTGGCAGAGCCGGGGATAAGGCCCAGGTTTTCTGCCTGCCAGTCCAGTGCCTTGTCTCGTTATCTTAGGGTTAGGTTAGAACATCAGGCAGCCTGTTCAGGACCTGGCCATGATGAATGACACCCCACACCGTCAGTGGGACGTGCCCTGAAAAGTCTGAGCTAGCTAGCTGGCATTTGGGCCCGGGCTTGCTGCGAGTGGGGAGAGAATCCTGCGTTTGTTGGACTCAAACATTGACGGCACAAAACCATTCTTCTGGTTAATTCTGCTGAGTGACTGGTCAGGGGGCAGCTGTCTGCACGCCTAGTTTACAGCTCTCACCTTGGGGCAACACCTTTTTGATTGTCTAACTATTTTAACTGAGCCCCAAAAGCCTGGTTAGGGTAGCCTAGGGCAGCCAGTTAGACTTAAATATGCTGGGGTATTGTCCCTCACCTGGCTAAGCCTCATCTGGACCCATCACAAACCCTTACAATAGTAAACCAGCGTGTGCCACCCCGGCAAGCATCAGCCCCCTACAGTAACAAACCGGTGCGCTCAGCCTGCATGTTAGATCAGCCTGACCATAACAAACTCGTCATGTACGCTGCAGCACTCTGCATGAGCACCCCGGCCACAACAGACCAGTGAAATATTGTGTGTTCTTGTAGGAAAGTATTTTCCCCCTTGCTGTGTTTTCCCTTGTGTTGTCTCTGTGGAAGTGCGGCACTTTTCCCTGTGCTTTCCTGTAGTAAGGAAGAGAGCAACAGAGATCGCACGACACCAGATTTCTAGGGTCCTTTTACTTTCCTGGAACAGGGGGACTCATCTTACTCGTGACTGTCTAACATCCCCCATCACCCACTCCGAAGAGCAGCAGTGGAGATAGGATTCATGTACATTATGCTAGTAGATTTAGGGAAATTCAGAACTAGCTGGAACGGGAGACTTAGTTTATTTACATTATGTCACCCCTTTTATGCCTTTATTGTCTGCGTAGTTCTCAGTTGGGGATGCCAGCACAGAAAGGGTCAGTTACAGTATGTACAATACTGGACAGTGTTCAACAAAACTGAATGCAAGCGTTGGCATTTGCCTTCAGACTGAAAACTGACCAGCCGTTCTGTACTATTGGTGTTTTGTTTAGTTTTTTAATCAGGATTATGAACTAGGGGTCTTCCTATTGTACACATATTTAGGAATCCATTTACCAGGCATTTTCCTGAGCTGAATACAACCTTCTTTGCTTTAGTTTGAGTCCTAAGTACTGGCACTCAATACACCGTAGAAAGAGGGTATTTCATGACCTGCATTCCCTAGTTTGTGTAGTCCCATATCCCCATTGAGTCTGGCAGCCTCAGGGTTTGCTGACTTAAAGCCCTGGAGGTTACAGAAGCAGGTCACTTTATATTCATGCTCCAGGATTAGAAGAACAACAGAAGAGCACAAATGTGTCTAGCAGAGAGAAGCAAAACTCAGCTGGCTAGTGGGATGTGTGTAATAGCAACCTACGGCTGAGAGCAGCTTAGCCTGGTTCTTCTCCTTCCCCTGCAGCTTGTGGATAGCGAACCAGGGGATAGGGTACTCTGATCAGACTGGCTACCAGATGGTATGAGAACCCTCTCCCCAGCAGGTCGCATGGTGGCCCACTTCTGCACCTAAGGAGAGAGCAATCTGCCAAGCCCCACTGGACCTGAGATTCAACTGCTTGCGTTAGAATCTTACGGAGAAAAGTGAGGTTGAGTGGGGTTTTGAGGCAGACACAGGTGTGAATGGTAGCCTCCAAATCAGGTTCCCCCACAGACACAGCGTAAAACAGATTTCCTTGTGCGCTGTAGGAGCACTAGCGACCCCCGCATGGAGCGTGTGCATGTGGGCAGAGGCACAAAAACAGAACAGAGCAATTTGAGAGTGAACTGAGGGGAGGAGAAGGGGATGATTATGGAGTAGGGCCTCAGTGCAAATCTTTTCATACTTCACCATTGCAGAATTGCTGGTAAGGAGCATTGAGAAAGCTGGAGGCAGTGAGCCTTCCTATAAATGTCTGTAATGGACCCTCACAAGATCTGTCTTTAAGCTCAGCAACTGTTTGTCCTCTGGAGAACCAAAAACCAAGGGCTGGAACAATAGGTTGCTAACTGAGGCAGTGAGGTGGTGGTGAACCATTACTCCCCGCCAGGATGGTGAACCATGACTTCCTGTGCTGTGTGAGAGAGATGAATGCACTTGTGCATGTTATCCTGCTGCAAGGCAGGTGCCTCCATTTCCTCTTGTGCCCCAGAGACTCCTGCCTCCACTTCCCTTGGGGCATGCTCCAGTTCCATGGGACATGGCCAGTCTATTTTGCCAAATGCCAGAATGAGGATAGTGCCTCTCAGATCCTGCATGTTTGACTGCGCAGTTCTGAAAGCCCGTGGTATTTTCTGCTGGATCTGGCTCTGGATCAGTGCTGTCTGCTAAATTTGTTTAACACATTGGTTGAAATGAATCAGCATGGAGTCCAAAGAAAAACAGACCCTTAACCCAAGCAAAGCTCAGTACAGGGCCTAAAGCAAGGATACAACCTGGTGGGAAAGTGAAGCCACACTCGCTGAATGTGGATTTTAATGTAGATTGGGCAGAATGCAGCTACCCAGCTCCTCAATGGGCTGACAATTGGGAACACGCACCACCCCACCATACCCCACCCCCATGGTGTGGTCTCTCCGCTGGTTCCTGGTCTGCTTCCAGAGTTAATTCAAGGCCTTGGCCATCAGTGTGTTAAGACCCAGATAGGGATATAACCACATCTCCATCCAGGAGTTACTATGGATAGTGCAGCTTGCAAAACCCAGAACTAAATGCCTGAGAGCTGGAGATGAAGCATTTCTCATTTGTGGGGATCCATATCTGGAATGAGCCACAAGAAGAGCTCAGAGTCACCCTGAGCTTAGCCTTTAGGGCATGCTGCAGCACCCTCCTCTTTGAGACATCGTTTTCACCGTCGCTGGATAGATAATTAAAATACAAAGGAACGAAATGATTCTGCTTTCAAACCAAGCAGAGCGTACTACAATGAGGGAAAGGAGAAGAGCAGAAGACCCCCATAAAGTCTGTTCGGGCCTGGCTATGCAGATCTGACTTGCCTAGAAAAGGCATGGATACTGTGGAGATGAGAGCCATGCGGAGCCGCAAGGTAGATAGAACAGAGTAACACATGGCTTCAGAAGATGTGCTCTGGTGCTCTTTGTTGAAACTGTTCATCCTGCCAGAAGGCCAACGTGTATGTTAAACCCCTGGATAATATCTCCAGATAAAGCTTTAGAGATTCAGGGCAATGACCTAGTAAGAGAAACCTTGCTTACCAAGCTCATTGTTGGTTGTAATCCTCTCCATCAGCAGGCGAGAGCTGACTGGAGATGCTTCCTCTGGGCTTTACCTTTGCGGAGGAATAAATATTCTGAAGAACACAACGGTTGGTTGGTTTGGGTTGTTTTTTTGTTTTGTTTTTAGAACTTGCTTTGCCATAATATTTTCCTAATAAGTGCTTGGACCTGTCCAATCAGCAGAGTGCAATGCTGCCCTTCATTTGCTTCAGCCTATCTCTGCACATGCTTCTCCTTCCACCTGTCCTCCTCCTGATGAGAACAGCAAAGCCGGGACTGAATCTGTCTCTCTTTCTTGTTGCAGGAGTGGCTGCAAGGTGAAGAAATATGAGATGCAATCCCTGGTCCTGGATGTTTGCACTCAGGTACATTTAAGCAAATGGCACTTACCTGTGTTCTTCAGAGGCCAGCAGGCGCTTGTGTGTGGGAAGTGAGCATGTTGAGAAGGAGGAGGATTTGCAGTCCTGATTCGGGGTTGTCTTTCCTGTTACTGGTCTGATGTAGGGGGGACATAATCATGAGAAGAGCTTGGGGGAGGGGGGGTTAGCTTTAAACTGATATTTATTTACCTGTAACAACCCAGAACCAGCCAGCAGACATCCCTGAGAACACTAGTTTGCACTACATCCCCCTTCTCCGATGAAAATCTCTCTCAACATCCCCAAATCCTGGCTTCTGGGAGGAGGTGAACAACATGAGGAGGAGCTGGAAGAATCCATGATGGAGATGTTTTATGTGCAACTATCCAATAATCCTTCCCCTCCCTGCCCTGCTAAGTTTTTCGGCCAATAAATGAAATCATGGACTCTACATTTCTGTGTCGGAACCGGGGCAATGCCTTGAAAGTGTCCCTTGTCCATTTCTGGGGCAGTGGTGAGGTGCCAGGTTTTGTGATCACACCGTTTAATGGATTTTGTCCATTCCTCTCTGCCATGTGTTTCTCTCTTCCAAAACCTTCCTGAGATGCCGATAGGAGCGGCTTGCCCACTTGACGAGTTTTCTGTTGTTTTCCATTGGCTGTTCTGATGACGCATTTGTCTGATCCCTATGGATTAGTTTAGCCCTGCTGAATTGCCTGCCTTGATCCCACAGGATGAAGGAGCACTGATCTCAAAAATCCCAGACGTTGCAAATTGCGATGGTCACGCTACTGACGAAGAGAAGCTGGCATCTACATCCTCCAGTCAGAAACCATCCGGGCCAGAGGTGAAAGGTGAGCCAGAAGACGACCTGGAGTACTTTGAATGTTCCAATGTTCCCGTGTCTACCATAAATCATGCGTTTTCATCCTCAGAAGCAGGTATGGAAGCATATCTCTATTTCTTCTCTCTCTCTCTAAATCTATAGACATACAGCATGTACACTCAGAAATGTACATGCTGGTTTTGTACAATGTACGTGGGCCGGTTTTGTTCAATATCTTCATAAATGATCTGGAGGATGGTGTGGATTGCACTCTCAGCAAATTTGCGGATGATACTAAACTGGGAGGAGTGGTAAATATGCTGGAGGGCAGGGATTGGATACAGAGGGACCTAGACAAATTGGAGGATTGGGCCAAAAGAAATCTGATGAGGTTCAATAAGGATAAGTGCAGGGTCCTGCACTTAGGACGGAAGAACCTAATGCACAGCTACAGACTAGGGACCAAATGGCTAGGCAGCAGTTCTGCGGAAAAGGACCTAGGGGTGACAGTGGACGAGAAGCTGGATATGAGTCAGCAGTGTGTCCTTGTTGCCAAGAAGACCAATGGCATTTTGGGATGTATAAGTAGGGGCATAGTGAGCAGATCGAGGGACGTGATTGTCCCCCTCTGTTCAACATTGGTGAGGCCTCATCTGGAGTACTGTGTCCAGTTTTGGGCCCCACACTACAAGAAGGATGTGGATAAATTGGAGAGAGTCCAGCGAAGGGCAACAAAAATGATTAGGGGTCTGGAACACATGACTTATGAGGAGAGGCTGAGGGAACTGGGATTGTTTAGTCTGCAGAAGAGAAGAATGAGGGGGGATTTGATAGCTGCTTTCAACTACCTGAGAGGTGGTTCCAGAGAGGATGGTTCCAGACTATTCTCAGTGGTAGAAGAGGACAGGACAAGGAGTAATGGTCTCAAGTTGCAGTGGGGGAGGTTTAGATTGGATATTAGGAAAAACTTTTTCACTAGGAGGGTGGTGAAATACTGGAATGCGTTACCTAGGGAGGTGGTAGAATCTCCTTCCTTAGAAGTTTTTAAGGTCAGGCTTGACAAAGCCCTGGCTGGGATGATTTAATTGGGGATTGGTCCTGCTTTGAGCAGGGGGGTTGGACTAGATGACCTCCTGAGGTCCCTTCCAACCCTGATATTCTATGAAATCCAAGTGACCTCAAAATAACCTCTAACAGCAAACAGAGCCATTTGAGCAGCAGCATCCCGCATCTTATTTACATTAATTGGGCAGGAAGCTACAGTATGTTCTAGTTAAAGGCTCAAATTGCTCATCTGTATTATTTACATTATGAAAAATCAGTGATTGTAGGTTGTTTTTATGTAGGCCCTTTTTATTTTAGTGCTATATAGAAGCTGATGGCATTACATTAGAAAGTTCATCTCCATCGCCACTGACTGAAACTGGCTCAGACAGTGGATGTGCAGAATAAATCCAGGATCACAAACAGTCCCCTCTCCCATGATGCTGGTTCTGCTGGTGCCTTGCTGCTTCTGCAAATTCCCTGTCTAAGCCATGAGTCTGTTTTGTCACATGAATCCAATGCGGTGAAGTGGGACCAGCCTTTTATCAAGCTGCAAACCGGCTTGTGCTCTTTCAGAACAATCAAATGTGAATCAAAAATCAGTTCCTATGTGTGCTTTTCTGCTTTTTGACACCTGCCCAGCGTGAGTGTGGGGAGACTGAGAGTCGGTAACTTGTGGACTGATATTTAGTAATGGTAATTAGAAGAAGTGTGAGCAACTTTGTGTTCAAAGCATTATTCAAATGTTAACTAGTCCTCACACAGCCCAATAAGATAGGTAGTCCCTCAAGGTATTCTCTTCATTTTACGGGTGAGGACACTGAGACACAGACTGGTTAAGCTGACTTGCCTAAGGTCACACATTAATTCGGGTTAGACTAGAACTTGGATGTGCCTAGATTTTAGTTCCAGGACCTGTCTACTAGATCATGTAGATCTGTATATTAAAGAATCATATAAATGAAAACTGTTCTGGATACGTGCCTGTAAGGACATTTGGATTTGCTAAGCAAGGTCTGTAGAAACAGTCGTGGTGGTATTTTGTCTTCTATTGAATTTGCAGCTCCAGCCAATCCATTCTGAAATCATTAAAAGTCAGCAAGGGTGATGTTAAATCAATGTCAAAGTTGCAGGTGAGAATGGCAAAAACTGCCACACTGAAAACTTACAGCCATCTCCTGGCCAGTTTTGTTTCTTACACATTAATCATTTCTCCTGAAATGTGAGAAAAAGCTGTAATAGTCTCTGTGGGCATATTTCCTGGAAGAGAGAATTCTTACTTTTTTCTCTCTACACGGGTGGTCACCGTTGATAATTAACTGAGCCACGAGTTGTTGAGTATTCCAGGGAAATAAAGGTTTCGTGGGATAAGGAGAAAAGCTTTTATTTCACACATTTGTTCTTGTAGACTCGCAGGGCCTGATTCCCCAGTGCCTTGCTCCTTGGGTAGCCATGTGTCACAGTGCAAATCTTACACCTTTCCCATCATTCTGATTTCGTTGCATTCTGCACTCACTTTCCATTGAGGGAAGAGATTGGCCACGGTGCAGGTCAATGCAGAATCAGGCCTACTGGAAATCTAGACAATAAAAAATAACAATAGACCAAGTGGAGAAAATGAACCAGAATTTGTAGCAGTGGAGAGTGGGCTCTTTACTTCCTGCTTTCCGTCGTCCTTGTATTCTGATGGTACATTTGCTTTTGCCTTATTAGTGAGTGAAGAGCCAGTCACATTCACAGAGCACCAAAGTGTAATTTAGGAACATAGGGCTCGTAATTTATATCCTGCAGTCCTTTAGAGTTGCAGGATATACTCAGACATCAGTTACTGGAGGAGACAGCTTTTGTCTACTCTCCTCTGCTGCTGGTGAGAATAGAAAGGGACACATGAACCACTCTGTTGACAGATCATCAGCCCCAGTTGGTGTGAGGCTTATATTTGTGTTATTCAGAGTGGGGGGAACAGCTGTTGCTTGTCACCACCTGCAATATCAACAGCCTTTCATCCCAAATGATCCCTCCACTTTACAAACACTATATACATGTGAGCCATTTCAACCATCACTGAAATGCAGACACCTCTGAGGTGGAACACAGCACCAGTAATTAACCCAATTGAATGAATTTACCAAGGGTTGTGGTGGATTCTCTATCACTGGCATTTCTAAATCAAGATTGGACGTTTTCCTAAAAGATCTGCTTTAGTTAGGAATGAATTCAGGGCCATCCTATGGCCTGTGTTATACAGGAATTCAGATTGGAGGGGCACAGTGGTCTTTTCTGGCTGCAGAATCTATTAACCTGTTTGGTAGCACGTAGGGAGTGAAGGATCTTGCACCCAGTCAGTGTTCAGCCTCACGTTTGTTGCTGATGGTTGTGCAAATCCAGATTGTGGAGACGGAGAGCAGGGGAAAGCTGCAAGAGGATCCTGTACACACGCCACACTGAGTGTAGTTCTGGAAAGGTCAGGGGCTGTGGTCAAAACTGCTCAGAAGCAGCACCCTGGGGGACTGAAATTGCCCTTCCACCTCTTGGCGTGTGATGGTGCCTCCAAGTGGCAATAGCAGCAGGGGAGAATATGGGGGACGAAGGCATGGTGGGCACCTCCCTCCCTCCTCCAGGAAACCGCCCAGCATTGCTACTGTAAGTGGTGATGGAGAAAAGGGGCCATCAGGGCAGCGTCTTGTCAAGCACAAAGGTGGGGAAAAACCCGTCCCTTAAATGCTTATTCGGACAGAGCTGGCTCTGAGGCCAAAGCACAGTGAGGGGACGTGTGCCTTGGGGCATGCGAAGCCAGAGGAAACCCGTGAACACACACCAGAGGAAAAATTTGGTCAAGGCTGGTCCTGACTCCCAACTGCTCTATTTCTTTTTCAAATGTCCTACAGTCTCCCTACATTTACCAACAATATGATGTAGATGGGGGTGAATTCGAAACTTGGGAGGTTCACTGAAAATGACTTGTCCCTGTCGAGGGTCAGGAGCCAGCAGCCGAGGAGAGTGGTGTGAATGGCACCTGTCAAGGATAAAGGCACGTTGCGGCATGGCCACAAAAGTGTGTGTGTGGAGGGGGGGGAGTTGTTCCCCTCTTTGCTCTGAGTGCAACAGAAGGGAAGCCCTGCAGGGTGGGTAACACTGAATCAGCAAGCCCACTGCTTTCCTGCCACTCTTGTTCTTGGGTGCCCCTGTTGGGAGCGGGCCAGTGATTTTCGTTTGGAGGGGAAGAGTCCTCACTCCCTTGATTGCACTTATGTGGATCTCTTTATCCCCACCCCCATCGAGCAGATGGACACCAGCCCTGTACAGAGATGCCAAGGGCTGGCTGTGCTTAAGAGTGAGGGTCAAGGCCAAAGAGTGACACTTTCCAGGACGTGTGCTAGGTCATTGCTTAAGACAGGGATTCTCGTCTTTGGTCCTTGGTGACATCCAATAGTCCAGGTGTTTAATCCAACCAGCACTTAATAGTTTGTTTTAAAATGTACACTGCTTAATATTGCATAGGAAACGCTTCATTGTCCTAATTCTCACTAAAGGCTAGGGTGCGTGAGAATTCTATTTGCCGTGCAAACCAGTGGATTTTAATCAAAACAACTGTTTGCTGGGTGGAACAAAAACCTGGATGGTTGGAGAGCAAACTGAATTTGCTCAATGCAGTTTAAATTTGGAACTGTATTTTGCAGAACCCACAAACTTTTGATCAATTCCTACTCGTTTTTTGGGCAAACTCCTATTTTTTCGACCGTCCACTATTCACACACGCAACCCTGCACCCTTCCCCCCACCTAGCCTCCTCTGTCTTCTCGCACACATATCGCACAAGGGCCTGTAGTCTCCATGGTTACCACAGTACACAAGCTTGGGAAGTGTCTTTCCAAGCTTATTGTTGTCTCTTGCAGTGCCTGAGTAAAAATATTTTAAATCTCTATATATTTACTTAAAACGAGTGAGAGAAGCTTAGGATCGTGTGTGAGAGTGAGTGAGCATGCTAGGGAGTAAGTCTCATACCCAAAGAGTGAGATTTGCACCACCTTGCCTCCTGAAGGACCTCTCTCCAGACTGGCCTGCAAAGGATGTTGAATGAGTGAAGCAGTTCATCCCTTCTAAGCTCCATCACGTGATGGGTTTCGCCTTAACTCTGATCTCCTTTGTGCCCGTCCATTACTCCTGTCTTGAGCCATGGGCTGGAGCAAAACCTCTGTGCCTGACCCAGAGCTCTCAGGGTGGGTAGTTGCTAGCTATGCGGCATGTCACCTTATCCTGTAGGGACTATTAATTCTAATAATATGTTAGAACAATCCATGACAAGAACCGGTTGGATAAACACCTGCCAGGATAGATAACACTTGGTCCTGCCTCAGTGCAGGGGACTGGACTAGATGACCTATCGAGCTCCCTTCCAGCCCTACGTCTCTGTGATTCTCTGTTACGTTGATCTGACACTTCCCAAGCCAAAGGATCCCAAAGAACACCCCAAAGTTTACAAAGTACATGGATAATGACTGTGATTGTAGACACTCAAGTAAATCCTGTTAGAAAACAGGAAAAGTTCGAGATCTCATCTTCATGTGTATTTGTACAGCACCTAGCGCAGCTTATCTAGGGAGTTGTATGGCCCCCTCACCACAGTATCTGAGTGCCTCCTGGTCATTAATGGCTTGTATCCCCACAGCACGAATGCAGTAGGGAGGTATCATTCATCCCCATTGTACGAATGGGGAACTGAGGCACAGGATAGATTGGTTTGTCCAAGGTGAGGAGCTGGATTTGGGTCTCCTGAGTCTCATTCCTGCTGTGAGCTGTGATCCTCCCTGGGGCCCCTATTCAATATCAGTATGGTTTGGCACCTGTACCTACACAGAGCTGCTGCTTTGTCTTCCCCATACTTTGCCAGCTCCTGTGGAAAGCAGGTGCTGGTAACTCCTCCTTTGCTGCTGCCAGGGTCCCCCTGGGCAGGCATTTCCCTGTGTGTGAGGAAAACAGACAGACCATATGCTGACCCAAAATAAAACTGTCCATCTGTGTAAGGACAGGAACCCCGCAGAGCCTGGGATCCTGAGCCTCGGGGACTGGAAGAGATGGCCTTAAACTCTTCTATTCCAGCAAATCTCTGGGCTGGGGTGACAGTCATGCTCTCAAGGCAGCTGTAACACCTTGTGCCCTGTGTTTTAGGGTTCGAAAAAGAAACATCCAAACAGAAGGAGAAGGATGGGCCCAGCAGCACCCTGGTAAGTGCAGCTTCACCTTTACTCTGACCTCCCGTGGCTTCTCCTGTGCCAGTGACCCCCCATGAAACACTGTGATTCCCTACGGGTCTGATTCTTCAGCCCTTACTCACATTCCTTGACTTGAGCAGGGCTGTTTGCATGAGTAAGAAGTGCTCTTTGTGAGTACGAGCTGGGCCTCTGCCAGCATATTGAGACACTTGCATACACAGTGAAAAGTGGGAGACTATGCTGAATATACTAAGTGATCACCCCAAATCCCTGCTCTCTGACTGCTAATATCCCACATTCCTTGATACAGGCCTGAATCCTTCAGGGCACTGCAGAAATGGCCATGTGGCCTCTGGATCAGCCTCACAGTGGTGAGAAGTCTTTCTGAAAGCACCTCAGGAGAAGCTGCTTTGGGAGCTAATGTATTTAAAATTGTGAACTGGGGATTTAACCAATCCTGATTTCACAGCAGCCCCTGAAGTGCACTCTAGAGAGAGGCCTTCCTTCTGTGCTTGCGGCCTGAAGCCTTGTCCAGGCAGGCGGATGGGATGATGCTGGAATAGGAAGGTAGGCGAGGACAGGCAGGGGCACGCGAACAGTTGGCAGAGGGGATGGTACTTTGTACACCCAGGAATCCCGACAGGTGGGAGTGTGGGCCACACATGGTCAGGACTGAGCGATGAACAAGTGGATGTTCATGGTCCCCAGAGTCAGATGAGCAGTGGAGACATATGCAGGTGCTGTCGGAGCATTTTTAAGATGCCCAGATATGAAGCTTTACAACTGGAATGAAGTGGAAGGGAAGTCGGGGGACCAGACCAGTGACAAGGGAGAGTCTTGTCCCCATCACGTGGAAGCCTGTGGCACCCGCTGGTGAAGAGCAGGCAATGCAGCCCGACAGCCGCAGTAACTCTCCGCAGGGACAGACGGTGGCTGTGAGGTGCTAGCAGTGACAGCTGCTGTGTTTGCCTGCGGACCGTCTCTGTGTCCTTACCAGCTGCCTTCCCATTGCCATGTGCCCGGGGAGATTGGCATGTGGTATCACGCTCTTGTGGACTCTCTCAGACCGGCAGTGTAATCCCCTTGCAACATGAATTGAATTCATGTTGCAGAGGCTCTTTTAAAAGCTGGTGGGAAGCTGCCAGACATGCCCCTCAACGCACAGATAGTCTGCTGTCCCGATGGGCTGCATGCATGGCCCCCTCTGGGCTGCATGCACGACCCCCTCTTGCATGCACGACCCCCTCTGTGCTGCATGCATGGCTCCCTCTGCTGGGCGATGCATGGAGCTGACGTGGTCTTGAGCCTTGGACTGGCCTGGAGCGTGCCGCAGCAGCGTCTGCCCCTGGGGCTGCCGGGGATGGGAGAAGAGAGGAAAAGTGAGCAAAAGAAAACACAGACGGGTGGAGCGAATAAAAATCCTGTGCCTCTCTGGAACCAGTCACAGTGAATAGCGACGGGGAAGTGAGCTCTCTCGCCCTATCGAAAAGGGCCCCAAACTCTGCTTCTGGAAGCCAGCTCGATTGCTCCCTCCCTACAGCCAGGATGGTGTCCGCCGAAATGGGGAGGCGGTCACACAGCCCTGGTGAGACGGAGAGCACTGCTGCTGCTGATGAAACGCCTTGTCCTCCCGTCAGTCGCTCTGTGTCCTGCTCTTTTAGCCTCGTGCCCAGCAGCACTGTTGGGAGCCTGGCAGCAGTGTCGGAGCGGTGACCGGCATGCAGATAAAATCCCTTCCCTACTGCAGCAGAGCTGTGGGCAAGGGGACGTGCTATGCCAGCTCAGCTCCACGCAGCTGGGACAGCTCAGAGAGGAAGGTGGCAGGCAGACGACAATGAGATTAACGCCAGCTTTAACAACCCTAAGCCTCCCAAGGACGTTAGTAAAGCAAAGCAAGGGGAAGGTACTTGCTTTCTGTGGGGATTCCCAGCTCAGGTCTCCAGAGCCCTGCGGCCGTTCTAACGGTTCAGTGGAATGCGCACTAGTCGATACAGGGAGGCTCTGGGGTGGACATGGGCATGCAGGGCTCGGGGGGGGTTCGGCCACACGAGAGGGAGACCCTCCGCTCAGCCAGACAAGTCACGGTCCGTGTCCAGGGCAGCTTGTTTCTTCCTTGGAACTGGGAGGTTGGCAGGAAGGGGAGCAGCTGATTCTGGGATGGGAGAACATGGGGGATTGTTACTTGCTGAGTGCTCAGGAGCGTGTGCCCTAGTGTCGGGTGTCCGTGGGGAGTCTCCAAGCTACACCGAGAGCGGTTACTCCCAGGGAGCTCATCTGCTGGTGCGCTGCATGGGCCTGGGCAGGGGTGGCGTTAAAGAGAGATTTTCCACCTGCACCGGCTTGCGGTCTAAGAGCATTTGTGCTGAGAGCAGCCGCCGCTCCCATTCCGGTGCTGTGTTCGCTCACCTGCCACTGTGCTGCACGATAAGAACTTTCACCCTCACAAACCAAGCGAGATTCTGCGTCTGGCTTGGTACTGAAAACCACTAGAACTTACTGCTCAGAGAAAGGGTGTTTTTCATTTACAAAATGCTGCACAAATCTTGACTAGCTCCTCAGTATAACACTTCTCTGTTTATGGCCTGTGGCCAAGCAGCTAACTGGGAAGCGAGTGTAGCTAGGATTAGTGGCAGAAAATTAAGAAAAGGACATTTTAGGAGACTAGATAGAAGTTCTCTCTGGCAAGAGAGACTTTTGGTTTTCATGGCGTGTGTCCCGGATGAGGCTGCTTTGAGTAGTTGGTCAGAGAATATGCAGCAAGCGTTCCAGAGAACACAGACTGTAACGGCCCTACCCAATGACCTCCTGGTCTAAGGAAGCATGTTAAATACCCCGCTGGCCAGAGGGAAGGGGATGGTGATCTGTGCCTGATCAGGGAGGCAATGATTGGACCCTGTCTGCACGGGGTGTCAGCTAGATGGCTGCTCTGCGGAGACAGACAATCGACACTGCTCCCTGCATGAAGGCTGTCTGACCCTAGAACCACTTGTGAAGCCCAGCAAAATAACCCAGGCTGAGCAAACGTCTATACAACTGCTGCCGGCTGTAGCGAATCCTGCATTAAATGGGAGGTGACTGGCACAGAATACGCTGTCCCCTGCAGGCCCTGACATAGGCTGCTGCAATTAACAACACTTAGCAAAGCTCACATGCCTGGAGCTGTTTTAAATGGGTAGCAGCACAGGGCATGTAGCAAAGGGATTGTGATGGTATTGTGGGATCTGACTCTGGCAGCATCTTCATTAGAAACTGTCTGATATAGGCCCTGGGAAATGGGCTTTCTGTCCTTTCTACGTTTGGTTTAAATGTAGCATCCTATTCAGGACTCAAAGTTTATTGGATTTATAACGGGTGGTAGCTTAGAGACAGAGGCCAGGCTGACCTGGAAGGGACTCAAACCTTTGCCCGTCAGGTGCATTAGGAAGAGACTTCCCTTGGGGCCCGTTTTCCTTTCACCGTGCACACATCCTGTGAGCTCCTGCTCCTCCTAGAGCATGCATCCAGAGGAGGACACCACCTCACTCTCCCATGAAAGCTGCATTTTCAAGTGACTTTGGAGGGAACCACACATCCAGCCTCAACAGAGGGTGGAACTGGCTCAATAGACAATGAGACCTGAAGGGGACTGGGCGTCACCGGAGTGATAGGGCTTGTACCCAGACCAGACACTGCACTGTTTCCTTCCCACAATGGAGACGGGCCTCTGAATTTTCAATGTACAAATACAGGATGGGTGGGCGCCTGGAGGAAGGACTTGAGAATGTGGAGACATACCCCAAATACAGGCAGCTGGGCAGAAAAGCTGCAGATCGAATGTATCATTGAGCGGTAATTCTTGTCACCGCAGGGCGATTCTGGACAGTGCTCAAAGGACAAAGCCATGACGACCAGAGCGAGTGGAAGTGAAAGTCCTCTGGAAAGCGTTTGCCTCAGTGAATCTGACAAAAAGGCCGTGCTCACTTTAATAAGAGAGGAGGTAATGGTGACTCAGCACTGTCAGGGCTGGTGCCTGCTCAGGGCAGTAAAATGTGTACACCCAGAGCAGGAATTCATCTCAGTCCGTGTTTGTGAAGCAGCCAGCACCAGGAGGCCCTGATCTCCACTGGGGCCTCTAGGGACTGCGACATATTAATAATATAACCTCTGCTGCCCCACGTGCACCACATCACAGGTGTATCCAGGATGTGGGAGCTAGCCTCCCAGAGAGGCAGAGATGCTGCAGGGTGACATTCTCAGTGGACACGGTGCGACAGGGGATGGATAATTCATAGGTTTTTAGAGTTTAAGGCTAGAAGGGAACAGTAGATCTAGTCTGACCTCCTGTATAGCACAGGCCATTACAATTTCACCCCATTACCCTGTATTGAGCCCAGAATCTTGTGTCTGGCTAAAGCACACCTTCCAGAAAGGCATCCAGTCTGGATTTTAAAGCATCAAGTGCTGGAGAATCTTTGTAGTTTGTAATCTTTCTGTTCCTCTTGGGTCCCCTCCCACTGTTTGGCCAGCAATTCTCCTAGCATGCGGAAGGTGCCTGCAAAGAAGATAGCAGCAGATCCCCCCATTCTCACATTTCCATCGTCTTGTGGCAAAAGCGAGACTCCAAAAAGGGAGAGTTTTATAGCCATGAATTTACCTAAGATCTGCATAGGTTCCTTACATAAAACACCCCCGGCTGAGCACCTGTGTTGATATGCGGTGGCAGGCTTTGGGGCAATCATCTCCTCATGCCTCAAGTTTGCCACTTAAAATTATTTTTCAAGTGACATAAGCATGTAATTTTCAGCAGAAATGCTTCATAAACGTTTGCAATTAGAGGCTCTGAATGTTTTGAGCCAGCAGTGGAATCTAGATTAAATCTTTGCCCATTGCTGGTAATCTTCTAAAGAGCTTTCTTCAGCTAATATCAAAATGTTAGGGGTTTGCATTGCTAGTGATTGGATTTAATGTCTCTGACTCTATGGCATTCCCAGTTCACAGTCTGAAGCTGAGCTTAGGTTGTAGGGCTCCACATCCTGGAAGACAGCCCATGAATGCCTGGGGGTAGAGAGTTAGAGTTTGCATTTTGTTTCCTTTACAATGCAGATAATCACTAAGGAGATCGAAGCAAATGAATGGAAGAAAAAATATGAAGAGAGCCGACAAGAAGTCTTGGAAATGAGGTAAAAATCTGCAGCAGGTCTGAGCAATTAGGTGTTCACCCCCCATGTTATCCTCTAGCATTTCCACACAGAGCTATAGATCAAATCACGCCTGACTCTTGGGGGACTTTCCCTGCAGCCACTGGGGTATATTGAAGCAAAGCTGTTGATTTTGGGGTGCTGAATTGCTTGGTACTGAAATGCTGCTCATGCTTCTCTTCTTTTGTGACTCTTGTGGTTTAGTTAGCTTTGGTGGTAATAAGATAACATGGATAGCCATGCTCAGGATGGAACATGTTACAAGCCATGAGCTCATCATGCTCAGACTGTAACAAGTCTGTCATTTTCTTTGCAGCAAGAGTAAAATCCTATTAACTGTGCATGTCTGAGAGCCCAGGGGAAGGCCAGGTCAGCTGGGTGGAAGCTGAAGGCAGATATTACTGGAGAAGAGAGGAGGTGATTGAGAGGAATCAGAACTATAATCTAGACTGTGACTATACATACAGGTTTCAGAGTAACAGCTGTGTTAGTCTGTATTCGCAAAAAGAAAAGGAGTACTTGTGGCACCTTAGAGACTAACCAATTTATTTGACCATAAGCTTTCGTGAGCTACAGCTCATTTCATCGGATGCATACTGGGGAAAGTACATACATACAGTTTCAGACTGTGCACACAGGCTGCCTCTGGAACGGGCTGGTGTCATTTTGTTTCCCAAAGCCTTAAGAAGTGTGCTTGGCAACAGCGTACCAGCTTCTGTTTGCCAGCAACAGAGCTTCACAGATAAAAACAAAACCCCAGACTGTATGTAAATGTCTCCTGTCCCCTTTCGTTCTAGGAAAATCGTGGCTGAATATGAAAAGACCATTGCCCAGATGATAGGTAAGGTCTCTCTGGGTGGCAGCCGTCACTAGCGTAAGGAAGTTGGTGGCCTCGGGATGGCTTGTGGGATGCTGATCACAGTAACAACACAGAGAAAAATGTACCTGGTTTCATCAGCTTCCCCTAGTTCAGTGCCCATCTGCTGTTACAACCAGGACTGGCCTCCGTAAGGAGCGTGCAGCAGAATCCCTTATTCCCACTCCACCACCTGCCCTGACCAGCTTCACTCCGTCCTGACAAATGACCGTGAGGTTTTCTAAGTGGGAGGTTCCACATGTTCCCATAGCCCTGAGGTTCCTCTCCATTAGACACCCCCCCCCCACCCGCCCCGGCTTTGCACCGCGACGATGTATGGTCCAGCCGAGGTAGGCTGACAGACGCTCCCCTGGAAGAGCCATCAGCAACATCCCAAGTTGGCCAGTGAGGATCGCTACAGTAATGCCAGCTGTGCTTTCATCCCTGCTTGCTCCTGAGAGTCCCTCCCACTTGGAACCCAAGCCAGGGCTGTCACGTGGCAATTTGGAGCAATGACCCCCTGCGGGGCCTTGGCTGCAACAGTCTCCATTTCAGAAAAGGAGCGTTTTGATGTAAATATAATTTACTTCTAATTCACAGAAGATGAACAGAGGACAAACATGGCCTCCCAGAAGAGTCTTCAGCAGCTCACAATGGAAAAGGAACAGGCCCTGGCGGACCTGAACTCTGTAGAACGGTCCCTGTCGGATCTGTTTCGGAGATACGAGAACCTGAAGGGCATTCTGGAAGGATTTAAGAAGGTCCTTTACTCTCTTGGTCTTTCCTCTTCCTTGTTGTACCTCCTGTGCTGCCTGTGTGATGTCCTGTCCGATGGTTTCTGGTTAAGGGGTTATAGAAGCACACAGGATATTACTGTTTCTTGTCCAATACTGTTCTGGTCGTCTTATGTCCCCAACGCCTCTTTGAATCAATGCTCCTCGGTAGAGTTGGGCAAATAACAGATTTCTCAATACACTGGCAAGGCAAAGATTTCTTGCGGGGGGGGAGGACGGAATTGTTTTGGGTCAGATGGAAAATGAAATTTTTCGAAATTTTCAGCAAATCAGAAAGTAACAAAAATTCATTTCGGGTTGACCAGAATGTTTTGGTTTGATACGGAGCATTTTTTATAATAAAATTAAAGGACATTTCTAAGCTAAAAGTCATTTCAAATAAAAACACCAAGATGGTTTATTTTTAAAATGTTGAAACTAAATGTTTTAATTTTTTTCATTTGAAACAATCTGGCAAAATGGACACAAATTTGCAAATTGTTTTAATGTCACCAAATCTTCATTTTTCACCAAAAACAAGTCAAAAAATTGCCCAGCTCTACTCCTTGCCCTCAGTTGAAGGATGTTTCTGGTGCTCCTGTTTATATGTCAACATTGTGATGAATAAGCAGGGTACCTGTCTTGGCTGTAAATGTCACAGGAAGCCAGTGATAAGAGCTGCTGGAGCTGATCGCAGCAGGGAGCCTGTTCCTCTTTATAGATTTTACAGTCACATTCTCCCTGTACTCTGTGAACAATAGACATCAGAAGTAGCAGAGGGATCCAAGCAAAGGGCTGGAGCAAAGGCAAGGCATTATAAAAACACTGGGTCTGACTCCTGTTTACATTATCAGAGTAAAAAGGTCATAGCATAAATGAGCAATCTGTCAGAAGAATAAAAAATACTTTCAAGTTGTGAACCTCAATTTCCATCTGGGTGTCAGTTTTGTAGTTGTGACATGCTCAACTCCACTTCAAATTAGTCACCATTGTTTTTGCAATTTTTATCTTCCAGAATGAAGAAGCTCTGAAAAAATGTGCTCAGGATTACTTAGCCCGGGTCAAACAGGAAGAGCAGCGGTATCAAGCCCTGAAAATCCATGCAGAAGAAAAATTAGACAAGTAAGAATCCCAGATGTGGGCTCTGGAGAATGAAGACTGAGTCTGGAACTTTGGGAGACACAAGAATGAGTTTTAATTTCAGTCTTTCAGCCAGGTTTAGAAATAAAAAATTAGATTCATACCAGAGTCTTTGAAAGAATCTGTAACCTTGAGAAGGGTCCTGCTCATTGTTTAGAGGAATTTGAACTCCTGCAGGCTAAAGCAATCTGCATAACAGAGTTTGCAAATCTACCTTTCTTATCATTTGTGTTTTTATAGTGAGGAGGCCTGGATGATACTGCACTCTTATAATATTGGAGATTGTGAGTTAAGAATGGTCCTAAAGCAGCCAGTTATTTACAATATTATTGGCAATTATTTTGATGAGATATCCTTACTACTTAAAGTGTTATCACGGGGCAGCACGTGCTGACTGGCTTTCCTAAAGTCCGGAGGCAGAGAATATCAGGGACACTGGGGCCTCTTGGTCTTAAAGCGGGAAGGCAGAGAACCCCTACCCATCACTCAGGGCTTGGCTACATGAGAAAATAGCACTGGTTTGACTTAAGGTGTGAATTTAAACAGATGTAGTTAAACCAGTCAAACCCCTGTGTCGACAGTCTGATTTTAGTATAAGGAGCTTATTTTGGTTCATCTTAAACCTGTTGCAGTTGACTTAAGCTACCCCAAGAAAAGTTGCTCTGAAACTGAAAGCAGTGTGTCCACACAGGGGTTTGCCCCGTCTTAAATAAACCGGTTTAAAAGCCAATTTAAGTTAAACCATTGCAACTTCCCCATGTAGACACAGCCTCAGAATCTATTGCTCATAAGCATGGAGGAGAACTGGAGCCAGCCCAGCAACTGCAGCTGTTACTGGCTGCTTTAATAGGTGACTTTATCCTTTGCTCTGTTAGGCATTTAGATAACTGCACGCTGTGGTACTGTGTCATGTTACTCTGTTGGGCTGTGGCCAATGCGATAAATATTCGCACTCTCTCTCTCTCTCTCTCTCAACCCCAATGCAGAGCCAATGAAGAAATTGCTCAGGTGCGCACAAAAGCAAAAGCTGAGAGTGCAGCTCTCCATGCTGGGCTACGCAAAGAGCAGATGAAGGTGGAATCGCTGGAGAGAGCCCTCCAACAGAAGGTAAAGGCCCTTCGGGCACCGCCCCCGTTGTTGGTTTAGCTATTGATTTCAGTGGAAACAGTTGCCATTAAAGTGTCTCCTATTGATCTTGGGATCATTCCTCAGATCACAGGTGGCGTGAGAGAGAGGGTCTTAGAAAAGCTAGCCCGGAGCCAGGCAGAGTGAGGAGGGGAGGAATATAAATTCTGTTCTTTAAATCTCTGCCTGTTATCCACTTACCATCACACTGAACTATTGCTGTGGCTATGGGGAACAGCTGCATTTCAAGCTGCACTGTCCACTTGGGGACATGAAATCCAGACGATAAATGATAACCGGGGTGTCTCCATGCGGCTGTTAAACCCCCATGCACCATAGAGTGTGTGTCCCAGCTGATACTCACCTTGAGCTGTATCAGGACTGTGCTCCTAGACAGGGGCCTGGGTCACCTGAGCTTGTGGGCAGTTAGAGCCGGAGAGCGATAGTTTGTGATTAGGATCCCCCAGCATCAGCCTAAACAGCAGATCCTGCAGGACTATCTTGGAATGCGGATTCCCGGCATCGTTCTAGGGAGCAGATCTCCTGGGGATCAGCGTGGATAGTGAATCTCTTTTTCTACATGCTTCTCTGCCGTTCACTCAGCTGGCACATGCCAGAGTGCCTGCATACTACAAGGATAGCTGCTTTAGAAATGCAGTGGATGGCGTTACAGAGGGATTAGTAGCCATAATCCTGTTTGCAGAAGTGAATGCCCTGATCTACAATGCCAACTGCAGAGCAGTCTCATTGGCCCCAGCACGCCACGCGATAGCGTCCCAGGCCCTGCAGAGAGTCAGCAGTAGAAGCAGATTGGATCTGCCTCCCTTTCCCCCCTCCCCCCGAGGGGCCGTGCCTTCCCTTTTATGATGATGATGATTTATTTGTATTACTGGTGGGAAAAGGGGCAGGAATTGATCACTCACTGGTTACACGTGGCCATCGGGGAACTTCAGCTCTTCATCTCCATGTGACCGTTTGTCTTTCAGAACCAAGAAATTGAAGAGTTGACCAAGATCTGTGACGAGCTGATTGCAAAGATGGGAAAGACTGACTGAGCCTCGCCACCCTTTGTCCAACACTCTGCACTTGGCTGTTTTTTTTGTAATGTTGAGCACCTTGCCTTATTCTCCAGGAATAATCTCCCCTGAGCAGAGAAAAGCACATGCGCACAGCTTCCTGCCCCACTTGGCAGCAGGATCCCATCACCCCAGAGGCAAAGCTGGTGTCCCAAAGGGTTCTAGTCTGATCGTTTCAAAGGGTTTGCAGCCCCAGGTTTTTAGGGCTCAGCTCAGTTTCATCCCACACACACACCCTGGCGTCCACAGCATGTGGTTTTGATTAATTGGTTAATCCTACAGGTGAAATGGTTTGCCTGAAAGTGGTTTGATTAATTTCTGATATGCTGATCCAAGTGTATATTCATGTAACATGTCATAGCAAGTCCTGATCCCATGCCCTGCCAGCAGCTGGGGAGGGAAGCCCAAGTGTCTCTCTGGGTATGTCTACACTGCAATCTGAGGTGTGATTGCCCATCAGGTAGACATACCTGCGCTAGCATGGGTAAAAATAGCAATGTAGATGCAGCAGCATGGGCTTCAGCAATGCACGTAGGTACCCTGGTGTGCTTGTACTGCCGTATCTACATCGTTATCTTTAGCCATGTCAGCCTGAGCTGCAGTCACGCCTCAGATTGCAGTGCAGAGGTACCCTTGGTCAGTGCACTTTATTGTCCTTGCACTAGGGCTTTCTGTTCTCTCTCTTCAGCCTTGGTAGGTCCTTCCTCACAGCTGCACACCTGGATCTTCCGTCCAGACAGGTGTGCGTGCATATTTGGTAACATACTTCATACAGCTCCTCTTGGGGTTGTACCACTTCCCCGTGCTGCCCTCTAGCACCATCATTTCCTGATATTTATTATTAGTATTTTAATAGTAATTCAAAATATGCAAAGCAAAACTCTTTGCTATTGGTTCAAAATGCTGCTGTGAGATTAGAGGAGTGACCTCTCCCTTTGGGGACTGCAGAAGAAAGGGAGCAGGCCCTAATTTATGCATATGGTGAATATCCTAAAATCCTTTTCTCCAAGTCAATACAGAATGCCATTTAAAACGATGCAAAATGCTCTGGACCGTGTCTTGCTCTGAGAAATGCCTTTGCAGTTTTTCGAATACTAAAAGAATCAGAAACTAGTACAAGCAAAGTCAGCTGCAAACAGCTATTAAATAAACTCACAGGTCCAAATGGGCAGGAAACTGAATCATACTAGCTATGCAAGCAAACCACTCAGTGGAACTGTAGTGTGCATTTTCCCTTTATTTGCACCAATGCAGAATTGCTGAAGCACCTTTCATACTGCAGTAGAGACCCAGAAGTTCTGCAGGGTGACATATATTTAACTGTATGTAGATTGTTTTTGTACCTTACTTGGAATGCTGTTGCATGAGCCAACATTAGCAATGAGTTTTACCTGTTTGCGCATTGGCAGTGCTTTCCCACCCTGCAGAGTTGCAGCTGGTCTCATCCATGTGGTATTCACTGGGGTGCAGTACCCCCAGCCTGACAGCAGTGATGCTCACAAGCTGTATGAACTGCTCTGTCCGTACTAATTTCTCTTGGTCAGGGAATTATGCTTTGGAACCATTTGTCTGAGGTTTTGTGCAAACCAGTCCTGACCTTCAGACACCACTCCAGAACAAACCATGGGCTGTGCTAGACAACAGGTGTGGGGCCAGTGGGTCCTATTTTAAAGTCCTGGGTGGATAGTGGTGAAGTATCAAACCAGGGAAGGATTTGCTGTTTTGGAGCTGAGCCCTCGCTAGTGGCAGAAATAAAAGTTTAGCAATCCTTTTGGCTGCTACCATTTCATAACAAAATCAAACCATTCTATTTTCTGGTTCCTAACATGGAGCATGCAGAGCACACGTCTTACTGTATGAGCCATAGTTCTAAAATATACTTTATGAAATGTATTCTGTATAGAGATCATTATTATACATTTAACAAGACCAAGATGGTGACAACCTGCCCCTAGTACATGACGAGCTAATGGGAGCAGTCTAGCATGCCCCCTTTTAAAGTAGTGTCCTTCTGTGCACTGGAGAAGGTCCCTCCGAAATTAGCCCAGGGGTAGTTCCCTTGGTGGGATATGGACCCCCAGCTTTTTTGCGAATATTGAGCTCTCTGTGGTGGCAGGAAGGGAAACCCCCCGTTCCTGTGCTGTTCCCCCATGTGCAGTAGTTACACAGCTCTCAAGCATGTTGGTAGGAAAGCTTGGGTCAGATAATCTTCAGAGGGAGATGGGTCACCTCTGTCCAGGCAGTACGTGAGCCAACCACAAAGGAGAGCATGCGGCCATGACGCTCCTCTTCCTGTCAACCTCAGTGATCAGGTTACACCAGAGGTAGCCAAATCTGGATGGCCGGATGCTTTAGAACGGATGCCAGAATCTTTTAATTTATTTATTATCATTATTATTGTTATTTTTAAAAATATTTTCTCTGGAGTCTAGACCTTGACTATACCTTAACCAAGAAATTTTGGACCTTGACAAAAAATAATTGATTGTCCCTGAGTTATACCATAGTTTAGGTGTGGCCAGACTGAAGTAGGACCATTCTCTTTAGCTCACTCGTTTCCAGCTTAGCCCTTTCCAGAACGCACCTAAATCGTGTTGTGATTCTTGAATAATAATAAATCTTTCTTGGCAGGTGGTAGCTAGATGTTACTACAAGTGGATGATGGCAAATAGATGAATGAAGGGTGAGCCCCCAAAGGTTCTGTTTAGGAAAAAAGTCAAACATTGAGATGCAGCTCTGAACCTCTGGGGTCTGCAGATTTGAGAGCAACCATTCTGGGAGGAGCTCGGCATCTCCACTTCCAGCCCCAGCAGGGATGGGTAAAAAGTAGAGGAAAAAAAGTTGTGTGGGGAAGGAGAATTATCAGGTATTTTTCAGGTCCCAAAATAAGTTATTTGTTAATTTGGGTTAGTTTTGAGTTGGGCGCTAATTTCAGGTTGTTTTTTATTTTATCAGGATCCATTTAACTCTCCCCTAGTAACAATGGGCAAAATTCCAGCACAAGATCCATGCTCCACTCATGTCGCACATTAGGATTGTGGTGAGACTTGAGTAGTACTGAGTGGGCTAGTCCTCTGCACAGGAGTGAATTTCACCCAACGTGCTCAAAATGTTGAGTTTTCAGTAAAGCCGTTCATAGACATGGTTATAAAAGAGTAGCCAGGATCCTGGGCTGAGCTGCTTTCTGCAAACAGTGTCCGTGTTGTAGCAGAGTTTAGATCAGTGGTTCCCAAACTAGGGCCGCTGCTTGTTCACGGAAAGCCTCTGGCAGGCCGGGCCGGTTTGTTTACCTGCTGCGTCCACAGGTTCGGCCGATCGCAGCTCCCAGTGGCCGCAGTTTGCTGTTCTCAGCCAATGGGAGCTGCAGGAAGCGGTGTGGGCCGAGGGACATGCTGGCCGCCCTTCCTGCAGCCCCCATTGGCCTGGAGCAGCAAACCGTAGCCAGTGGGAGCTGCGATCGGCCGAACCTGCCGACGCGGCAGGTAAACAAACGGGTCCGGCCCTCCAGGGGCTTTCCCTGAACAAGCGGCGCCCCTAGTTTGGGAACCACTGGTTTAGATAGTAACCAAATGGCATTGAAAACCTGCCTGGCAGCTCCAGAACCAAATCTGAGTTTTTGTAAAACATTATTCTACTACCCAATTAGAAAAGCCTAAGAATAAACAAGAGATTGCCACAGAACTGAGAAGAGCTTTCTTAATAAAGCATGTTTAATAAAAACCCCTTTTATGTTTGAGTTACAGCACAGATTCTCCTCATCCCCAAAAAAATCCACATAAAAAAATTTAAATTATGTCCATTAGTGCACTCTTCCTTTGTTATGAATAGTCATTTGATGTGATCTCTGCCCTCAGATATGATGCCCCATACTATGCCACTCATGTTCACTCCCACCTGTGTTAAGAGAAGCGAAAAGCAGGAAAGGTTTGCTTATTGAGGGCTAAAGTCTGGAGATGCAGCACATTAGGGCTCAGGGAGACTGATTCCTCAAATTGTAGCATGTTTGGAGGGAGCTGTCTCTCTGTGAGGTTTTGCTCCGTTGCTCTGAGATGATGCGTCCTTGCAGAGAGGTTTTGTTAAACTCCAGAGAACACCACTCCATAAAATACAGTCATGAGTCTCAGTATCTCTATAGAACTGTAGCTTGCAAATTACAAAGTAAATCTTTAACAAACCTCCCGCTCCTCCAAAGGTAAGAGAGCTGAAATGCAAGACAGTTCTACAGAGAGCTCCTCCTCCCCATCAGTAGTAATCTGAGTTGAGAGCATTTTCCCATTTGTATCTGTTCCCCAGAGTCCAGTGATTGCACTTTCACTTTGTCTATCATCTGAGTGTTGTTCCATTTCTGTGCCTCTCAGCATGCCCTTAGAATTTGGGCAAATGAGATTCCTAAGGAATGATTTATTAACTATAATATGGTTATAGTTACATATATAATGGTTATAGTTATATATAATGGAAGATGTATGGAACTTTAAATCAGTGAGACTGTTTTATCTTGTATGCTGCTTTATAGTGTCCAGACCCAGAAGCAAAGCTTTGGTCTAGACTGGCTCATCATCTGAAGACCCTTCTATTCAGGTCTGTAAAGATGCCGCTCCATCTTTTGCCGTTCAGCAGCATTTGCAGGAAGATCTGAAAGTTGCTGCTGTTCTCTGTACAGGGAGATAATGGCAATACTCGAGCTTTGCTGAGTAATTTTTACAAGTGTCTTGTGAACACAAAACTCCTTCCCTGATGAACAAGCCAAGATGTATCGCTAATACCCGGAAACTTGCAAATGGCCATGCACCAAGTTCAAAGCATGATCTCTCTCTTTTTTCCAGTAGAATTGCACCATCCCTTTTAACTGTCAAAGTTGCCTGCCTGTAAAATTATTAATGTTGCCGTCTACAAGTGTACATTTGCAATAGATCTCTTGTCTGCAGTAAAGTGCCAATTAATGACCATCCTGACTGCAAATCTGTTTCCACTGCATCCCTCGTGCAGTCTCTTCCCTCCCAGAGGCAGGAAGAAGAACTCTTTGCGTTGACTACTATCAGGATTGCTTTGTACAGTGTATGTAACTGCCATCTGCATAAATTTTATATGTACAATAATTTCCCTTTTATATGTCAGGTAAATATTTGTAAGAGTTATACTCACACAAATGAGATTATAATAATGATTACTAATATATTTTTTCCATGTTTCATTGCCTGAATAAAAACTGTATTTACCATTCTTGGATGCTTTTCCTGTATCAGAAATCATGTTTATTGTATGTGTATTGAGGACCTGATTCTGACCTCATTTACACAGGGTTAGGTGTCACTCCATTGATTTCAATGCAGTTACTCCTGATTTAGACCAGTGCAAGTGTGATCAAAATCAAATCCTGAGACTGGCTTTTATGGACTATAAAATGCACCCAAAATTAATTTAAAAAATGATTAATTTCCAGTGCCCTTAGGTCACGTGCTTTATAGTTTCATAGTAATTTGAGGGGATGTTCCCCTTATTTTGTGGGTTCACATGGTGGCATAGACTTTGGGCGGGCGGGCTGGCTGCAGAAGGGTGAATAGAGAGTTGTCGTACATCAGGAGACAGGATTCAGTTGTAATCCCAGCTCTGACGCCGATTCCCTTGATGGACTTAGATAAATCACTTAACCTCTCCTCTTTAGCTTCTCCATCTGTAAAAAGGCAGGTGTTTCCCAGGCTGACCGCGGGGCCGTGAAGGACAAGGAAGCATTGCACAATGTAAATGCTCAGTGTTAATATTCATCACTGATAACCCTCAGGCTGGGGGAGTTTCAAAGTAAATGGAGGTGGGGGATTTGGGAATGGGAGACCTGTGTCCAGCCTGAGCTGCAGCAAATGGGAGGAGGTGGGTTCCTTTTTTAGCACCGTAGATCGAGCTTTACCAGCGTTTTAAAAACCCACTGCAACGTCAGTGTTTTCCAGAAGCTGAGAAGCATTCTGTACGCAAAAACGAGTGGAACATTGTACTGTGCCCCACCAGATTGCTTCCATGCTGTATTTCCAGCAGCTCAGTTCACCTTGCCAGGACACAGCTCTCTAAGGGAAGAAGGACATTTCAGTAGTGTGTACAATTGCTGAACTGCCCAAAGCCCTGCCATTCTGAGTCCTGTACCCCCGTCTCCCCCATCTGAGAAACAACTGGATCCTTTGCATTAGACTTCCCCAGATTGGAAACAAGCCTGTGTAGTTTGCTGGAGCTGGGTAGTAAATCTCGTACATGCAGCCAGAGCAATGGGGAGGTGCATGTTAAAGGGATTTAAATAAATGATCATTGATACTTTTCCTCTCTGTGTGAGGATCCCAGAATGCTTTGGCAAGGGTAGGGCAGTGTCACTGTTCCCCCTTTTCTTTGAACAGGTGGGAAAACTGAGACACACAGCCACATTATTTGAGCTTGGCCAAGGTGCCAGTGGTACAGGATTCGCTTGTGAGTAGTCTGTCTCATAATTGCCTGCATGAACCACTAAACAATGCTGCGTCTTTCGGCATGTGTTATTCTGACCCTTGATCCAGGGGTAACCCCGATAAAGTAGGGAACCTAGCTTTCAGTTCCTGCCTGTGGGATTGTTTTTCATAGTGATTATAAGAAGTGATTTGGAGATAGACCTCGCTCATCTAAATGAGCCTGATTTCACCCAATGCTTACTCACTCAAAGGAGAAGTATCTGAATTGTGCTTTCTAGAGGTTAGAAGTGACAGGGACAGGGGTACTCCTCTAAGCCAGGCATATCATTGTCATTTGTCTTTTGTATAGTGCTACCTGTACTAGACACTCTACTGACAGGCATGAAGGAGCTTACGTCTAAATTGATGGAAGAATATTGTGGTCTGGTGCTTTGCTAAAACTTCGGTCCCTCCAAAGCCACCCGTGGTGCATTAAGTAAGTCACTGACTGTTCCTGATTCATTCTTTCACAGGATAAAAAAATCCTTGAAAACTAAGTTATGCCTTGAGATGCCCAGAGTACAGTCTACACTCAACCCTTCCCTGTATGCAGGTCTGGCAGTGCCCTTGGATTCTGCCTCCTGTCCTATGTGGCTAAGAAGGTATTAACCACAGATTGTGCACTAAGTATGTTATCCTTGGACAGCTGAGCCCATCACTCTGGCAGATTACTTGGAAGACCTTAATACAAACCAGAAACTGTCCTGAACGTTCCAGAGACTCCAGGAAATGTCTGCTATGAAGACCCTCCTGGCACTGGTCATCTTCATGTGCCTGGCAGCAGAAAGTAAGTGCCATGTAGTGGAAATCGATGGTAGAAGAAACAGCTCTTGGCATAACTTTGCACTGCTTATTAGCTGCCAGCTTATCTATCTGTCTTATGCCCTGTTGTTTCATCTCTGTAGAGCATAATACCTCACCTGTCGGACAGTGCGTTCCTTCCCCAGCAGAGAATTCACTTTCATTCAGAGGAAAGTGGATTCTCTTTCAGAGAGGGCTCAAAGGGAAATAACCTCCCTTCACACTTTCCTCTTCAGCGTGTTTGAAATGCAGGCGTAAAATCCACATTGCACCATATGGAAACTCCAGAACTAGCTTCTCCCAAGAGAGATGGCTGGTTCCTTGTGTTTTGGAGATCTGGATCATCCAAGTTGTTCCCTGATTAGGGTGACGTTTTCACTGCCAGGATGTTGGTTGCAAGTTAAAACGTAGCTCTTTGGTATCAGTCCTTTGAAAAGCTACTTTGAAGCAGGGAGGCAGAGAAGTTGTTTTGCTGATGACGGTGCCATGCCATGTGTACAGCGCGTTGTTACGTAGACTTACGGCTCCTATAGTCGAGTGCAGCCTTATGACTTGCTTCTCGGCAGAACCAAAGGCAACAAGGCTGGAGGGTAAGACTAGCTGTTAGACAACCTCACAGGACAGACGCTGGCGTCTTTTATTCATTCACTAGAGGCTGTTCTGAACCTTTTCCAAGGATGTTTTCTCCTCCCAGCAGGAAAGGCCCCTGTCAAGAGTTCTCTCTTCCTGCCAGCTCCCTTCCCATTCAGGCAGTGATGGCGGGGAGTCTTTTCTGACCACTTCTCCGATGGAAGATTGGAAGCCTCATTCTGCCTCCCTAGCCTGGGCTGGCAGTCATCTTGGTGGGCTAGGAGAAGCTCTACAATGACGTCTTGGGGAGATACAATTAGATACTCAGAAACCAAGGAGCTGTTTGGTTTGCGAGCGGGTGACACCTTAAAGCAATGAGGCAAGAGCCTCTGTAAATGCAACCAGATTCACACCGCAGTGTTCAGGAGGGATGGCTGGGACTGCAGATGGAAACTTGTTACTGCCATAAGTTGTAGAAATGTTGTGATTTGCAATGGCTGATATTTTAAAACGTTCTCCTCTCTCTGACAGGAGAGGTTGAGATCTCTGTGCAGTATGTGGGGCCAGCATAGACATGTGCATGTGGGGCCAGCATAGAACTATGCCTATACCGGTGGGGGGGTGTAGTATCCAGCTGTTCATATACTGGGTGGTGAGGAGGCAGGATACAGCCAGGTGCACATGCCAGGGGAGGGGAAGGCAGTGCATATACGGGGCCAGTATACAGTCAGATGCACAGGTCAGGGGCATATCCAAGCCTATAAGGCCAAATCCTGATGTCCATACTCAATATTGACTCGGTCTTTACACAAGTCAAGCTCCCACTGACTACGGAATTGCTCCCCGACAGGGAGGGTGCTCATTGCACAGGAGGGTGGCACCACCAATCCTCCACGTGGTTCCACGCAGAAGTGTTGGGTTTTCAGGACTCGCCCGCCCTGCATGGCACCACAGGGAATGGGCCAGGGCTTCATGAACTGGAATCTGGCGAGTGTTGACTGTCATTTGGCCCCTTTACTGTCCCGTTTCCCTTTTGAAATCCAGTCCCTCGCTTCCTTTGAGGTGACCCTTGTAATACATCATCAGCAACAACAAAATAGGCAGCCAAGATTATTCAAGCCCAGCTGCTCTCCCAGTGGTACCCGGAGCTCTTTTTCTGGCCACGAGAGGGCTCTGTTCTGCTGAGAACGTGGGTACGGACATGAGGCGCAGCCGACCACATACATGATATCTCGGTAGGGAGGGTTCAATATCAAACGCCCGTAGATACCAAGGTTTAGACACAAACGGGATTCTCGAGGTTTTGTTGAGGATTTTGGTCTGCAGGTGTTGTAAACCAGTGTTGTGCTTTAAAGTCTATTGTCGTCCCCAAGTGACACAAACATGTTAACACCTTCTCAGCGGGTCTGTGTCAGGTGATGCTCCGCAGGGAAAGGAGTGGGTCAAATAGCTGCTATTGACATTATCGCGCCAGATAAATGGAACCCCCAGCCAGCCAACAAGGCTATTTTCCTTATCTGTCACCTCATCAACTCTCCAGGCCCTCTTCATCGCAAAATCGAAAGACCATCGTTGTGCCTTGCCTCTTAACATCATGTCCTCCGTTCACTTTGTCTGGTACCCTTGTGTTTAATCCCTTCCTGTACAGCCCACTGGGATGCAGCTTATAGGCAAGGTGCTACATGCAACAGGGCTTCATTCATTCAAACGCACACCATGTCCAATGTGCATGCCGTAGAGCCTCATGCCAGCGTGTCCGGGGTTGGGCCAACCCTGGGGTTATGGATTTAATTTCCAAACACGCTGCTGTGTGCACAGCTGGCAGGAGCTGAGAATACTCTGGAGATGGTGGTTAGAGCCCCTGTGGGGGTGTGAGGTCAGAGAAGCTGCAGCCAGAGCACCACCGATTGCTGGGTGAAGCATGGAGGGACTTTGTTCCTATTCTCCAAGCAGAGAGCCTCAACCCATGGCACGTCCTACTCTAGCACAAGGCTTTCTTCTCTGCTGTTTGGAAGGCACCATGTAAAAGCCTGAGAGTGATGCATGGGAGGGTTGCCCCAGGAGCTCATAGAGATGTGTTAGAGTAATGGACAGGCCTCCCCAGTGTTGGAGTCCAAGTTGACATGCTTATATACTAACAGGCTGGATTAACCCATATCTTCAGGCTCCTGTGTAATCGGTGTGGCGTTTGGGCCTTTCCCATAGCATGGCGCTTGCGTTGGAAACCAGAACTGCACCAGTGCCCCTGCTCAATCGCTTCTTACAGCGATTACTCTCCTATGAGAGCAGCCGAGGCCACGGCATCATCACAGCAATTCCTGTGCCGTGATTTTCCGGGTAAAACCGCTGGTTGCAAGGGTGTCTGTGCTGCTCAGGTTTGTATAT